CCAGCACGCCAGGCTACAGGATCATTAGAAAACTCTCCCCCAGTATCCGAAAGCTTTCTACAGTATCCTCTTCAGACACCCATTTTTCTAAAACACATGTTTCTGGTGGGGCCATTATGGTCATGTTTGAGAAAACCGTATCTCTAACAAATTATTTCCTTGTCCGTTGTCGCACGACCCAAGATCTAAGCGGTGCTTTTTGACCTGATATTTGCAAGTAGTCGATACGTCAGACATATCCGGCTAAATTTCCAACGAATCATTGCTGTGGCGCTGGCGGGTTCTTCACGGGGTCCCCCAACCTTGTCCACCATCGTGAGTTCTCCACCGCGGCCGTGCCCGTGTGGCCCCGGCCGGCGCCTGCCCCAACGCTTGGTCCTGCAGGATGGGGCTGTCCCGCGTCGGGGGCGGCTCCCCTACCCCTGCTCTCGGCGCCCTGCCAGGCACAGCCAGGCGTCCCAGCCGCATTTGTGATCAGAGTGTCTTCAGGGAAAACGCTAAACCAGAGAGGGCCCGGAGGTGTCCCCGCCCCGTAATCTGTATTCCTCCTCCAAGATTCAGCTTTTGCAGAACCCTCCCTGGACCTAGGCTCCCCTGGGAGGCACGTAGCTGTCCCTGCTCTCTCCTTTGGCGGTCTTGCTGGCAGAGTTTTAAAGGACATGCCTCCACGGGAGGCCCCTTTAGGGGCAAACCTGGCATCTTGTCCCACGGGCTAGGAGCCCGCCTGAGATCGGCAGGGCGCCCTGCGAGGGCCCTTCCAGGCACGTTTCCCGGGGGTCCTGTTACATAGAACCTGCAAACTTCAGGGGAGCCCGGACAGGCTCTGCCAAATTCAGGCTCTCTCCTGCTGTACGCCTACCTTTCAGCTCGCCGGCCCACGCCCGGGCTCTCACGCCCAGTGTTTTTATTGTAAAATGGAGAATTTTAGCAAAACCTACTGATAGGAGCATGTTGAATACTGGCTATAGGAAAAGGGTGTTTTACATGACAACAGCAAGGCATGGTGTGAGGGGGCCCCAACCCTGGAGAGGGGGGGCCTGTCCCGCCCTGTGGGATGTCACCAGCCGTGCTCCGACGTCCCCAGGCCTGGCCTTGCGAGGATCGAGCCTCCTGCAGCTGGGCCCGGTGACCGGGGAGGGCTGTGCCCGGTGTGGACGTCCCACTGGAGGGGCCTCCCCGCCACGCTGGTCCATGTGGTGAGTGTCCCGTCTGCGGCCTCTCTCTCGCTCTACCACCACGCCTGCCCCTCCACCGCTGTGGTGCCGGCCAGGAGCCCCGTCCGGGTTTTGCATGTGTGGACAGAGGGGCCCGCCACAGTGCCGTCCTGGCTCCGCGCAGTCGGAACACCGGAGTGTCCCGCTTCTGAGGTGCCCTTTCCAGGTGTGGCCCTGGGAAGGGAGGCACACGCCTCAGCCCCCGGGACCCTGGAACCCAGACACCCGCAACTTGCCGCTCCTGCCCACCCCAGGCAGAGCCCGGCTCTGCTTTCCTGTTTCATCCTGTCGGCCCGTGTTATTCTTTGTTCCTGCTCGGCTGCCAGCTTTCCGTGCTCCTCTCCCTGGTCCCACCGTTCCCAGCGGAGGGAGCAGAGAGCCGGCCTCCCCTCGCCCACGGCCCAATAGGCCCGCCCCCGGGCACTGCCGGCGCTCCGGGCGCCCAGCGCTCCCCGCAAGGGAGCGCCCGCGGGGCAGGTGGGCCTGCTTTTCCTTTAAAGAGATAAGACTGAAGGCTTGGCAGGTGAGAGTCCCACTGCTCCTCCATCAACAAGGCTTCACGGCGACGCTTTTGAGCTCAGGTATTTCCTGCGGCCGAGGCAGACGAATCATTCCGTGCCGAGCGCTGTTTATCAACCAAGGTGAAACTCAAAGCGCCTCCGGTGAAGTTGACCTGCATCCGGTGGGAGCCAATTCCTGAGGGGCTGTGGTGCAATTCTCGGTTGAGGGGCTTAACGCCTCAGGATCCCAGAAGCTTCCGGCCACGCGCGACCCCCTCAGGAGGGAGGAGGAGTCTCCCTCCTTCCCGTTGTTCCTCTCCAATTCCTCTCCCTCCTTCCTGGATCCGGGTGGACCAGGCAGGGTACAAGTGCAGGGGAGCTGCGGTGCGTGGCGGAGCCAAGGACATTTTCCACAAATACTTTCGCAGTTTGAGAGCAGCAGCCAGAACAACGGCAGCAGGCGTGCCCAGGTAACAGGTGGCCAAGTCCGCAGGCTCACCAGGGCGAGCACGTGCCCGTGCAGTTTGCCTTCGGCCGAGCTCAGGGAACCGCGGTCCCCTCTCCCGTCACGGTGCCCACCGACGTGTGTGAGCAGCCTCGAAAGGTGTGGCTGTGGCCGCGGTGGCCGTCCTGCCCTGCCCCACACGGCACTCCAGTCCTTGGGTGGGGACTGAGGGCCACCAGAGCGACTCAGGGCTGGCGCCTGGCCCAGGTCCCATCGGGGTCTCGCGCCTCCAGGAACTGGGGGCCCGCCCTGCCCTGGGAACGGGGACCGGCCACTGGGGCACCATGGACACCCTCCTGGGCTCGCGCTGGGAGGGGCAGAGGCTCCCCCTCCAGGGCTTGATTTTTGAAAAATCCACAGTAAGCTGTCTTAAAGAGTCACATGTAATGAGGTATGCCCCGCCCACTGCTGTCCTAGCCGTTGAAAGCAGTCCAGGATTAAGGCGTTGTGCAAGTAACTAAGTGCAGAGAGAAGATAAAAGCCGGAGCACTCCAGCAAAGGGTCCGAGGAGGAGGGCCGTGTCTCCTGTTGGGGACGGTCCTGAGCCGCACACTCCCCGACCTGCGCCCCAGACTCCTGGCTTTGGCGGTTTTTCAGTTTGAGTTAGCCAAAGCCTGCCAGCCGGGAATGGCCAGACTCACGGTGCTATCTACGGACTGCGGAGAGTTGGGAAGACTAAATAGGAAATGAAGCAGGACCGGAGGCGATGCCTTCTGTGCAGAAACTCACCCAGCAACTCGGTCCTCCCATCTCGATCCGTGACTGAATCGCCAGTGGCCCCGGGTTCAATTTGAAGTACGCCTGTGGCAGCTGGCCAGACCTCTGGGCCCGGGCGGCTCTGCCCCTGCTTGGCGCAGCTGTGGCTCATGCGGCTGGGCCAGCCTGGCAAGCTGGGCGCCAGAGCCCGCCCAGGGCCCTGGGGGAGCAGTCTGCTCCCCACCCTCCTGCCAGGGACGTAACACCCAGGGCAGCTACCGGGGCAGTGATCCTGTAAGTTCTGAAAGAAGACCCAGCAGCCCATCATAAGAAAGTTTCCTATATTGGAAACTTGCTGCATCTGACGCAGGTTGAGCCACAGACGTGTCAGTGTGGCCGGCTGCGGGCAGCAAACGGTTAACCAGGCTGGGCTCCCGACTGCCCGGCCCAGACCTTGGACCAGGACAGAGGAGGCGATTCCAAGTGGGCCGCAGGAGCTCTGCAGGGCCTTCAAAGGAGCTCCGGGGAGGCCTGGTGTTTTACCGGACATCAGCAGAAGCCGGCCTTTTCCTGGAGAGAACATCGCAAGCTGAAAATAGGCTAAACAAGTAAACATCTTCCGAGTCGGGTTAGTAGGGATGTGGGGCAGGGGTTTAGTCCCTGGAGAGAGAGTGCGCCCTGTGTGCGCAGGGACCTCGGGTTTCTGCCGCGCCCAGGAGGCAGCGGGATAGAACGTCCTTAGAGACCCAAGACCCGGGACCGCGCGCCCCAAGCCAAGGGATGTCCGGCTTGCAGCAGAACCACATTCCCGGCTGATTTCTAGAAAGACCCAGTCTGTCACATTCACAGTATTAGGTCTAGTTTTGGCTTTTTTTATATAGTTACTCTTATGGATTCTATTTTTTCGGAGCTATTTTGGCTAACTATTTCACCCATCACTAGTATAAAACTCTCAGCATGTGATGTCGTGTAACTTGTGTGAGACGCAACACCTCCGCGCACAGTGCACGCACGTCACCACGCCAGCACTGTCACTGTATGCCACAGCACTACGCTCATCGTGCCTGGACTCCGACCCTGGGGAGTGTCAGCAGTGAGGACTCGTGGGCGCGGGTGTCCACGGGTCTCTGGGCTGCACCGCCGCGCGCCCACCCGAGCAGCTGTCTGTGGGCTGGCGCCCGGGACTCCGTGCCCCAGGGGCTGTGAGCAGGGGCGGAGCTGGCTCGGGCCCTGGAGGCTCTGCTCAGTGGAGGGGTTGCCCACTCTGGTCCCTTTCCAACTCAAGGTCCAGAACTTGGGGTCCCCGACCCCTCACGAAATTCTGTGCAAAACGGGTGATCTCAAGCTATGGGAGGGGAAGTGTCTTCAGAAGAGGCACCTCTGCCCCCCAGGGGACAGCTCGGCCACAGCACAGAGCAGACAAGGCCTGGGCGGCGGAGCCGGGCGCTGCCAGCTTCGCAGTGGCCGAGCTTCTCTGGTGCATCCCCTGCGCCCCATACCTCTTGCTTGTGCTACGGGGGAACCAGGCTTCTGTGGGCACTCGGGATCCTGGCCACCTGTGAGAACGTGTTGTTGGAGGTCTCTGTGTCTGCTAAGTGGGAGGTTTTAAGGGCCTGCGCCGTGCCAAGGCTGGCCCTGGATGGCGTCCCCGTGCGGAGCTTCCCACGCCGGGGCCCAGGGGCAGAGCTGGGAAGCCTGGCCAGAATCTGGCCCATGAGAGGACAGGGAGAAAGTGGGACGACGCATCCTGTGGACGATGCACCCTGTGTGCATGCGCCCAACCCGTCCTTCCAGCCGACCTGCAAAGTGGACTTGAATTGGGCATTCCCCACGTCTCTCACAGGGCTAGGTAGTCGCACGCGGCTGCTGAGCAGGGAAATCCGCGGTCCACGACGTTTCTCCTGGCCCACCCGTGCTCGGAAGGCGGACGGAGCAGGGTCGGAATGTGTCGAGGCGGCGCCGGCCGACAGGGAGCTCAGAGCCCAGAGAGGGCCGCGCTGGGGGAGGATGCGCGAGCGCTGGGCCCAGCTCTGCAGCTGAGCAACCCCAGCAGAAAGACACCCACACAGACGGCTCTTAAGACAGAACCTGCACGAGCACGTCTGCCAACGGGGCTGCGGGCGAGTGTGGGCTGGGGTCGCTGCACCGCTCGTGGGCAGGAGGAAGGACCCAGCCTCGACCCTTCAGTCCTCGACAGACAAAGGCTCCTCTGGCGTCCTGGCTGCGGTTAGCGGAAGTCCAGCTTGTAGCGCCCGCTCAGGCTCGGGGCGCAGCTCCCGGTGACCCACAGAGCCCTGCGTGGCCTTTGTGAGGTCATCTTTTCTGCGACAAGGGAGCTTCCGGCTGTTGTCCAAGCGTCCTCACTGTGGTTCTGGGCTGGCCTCGGGAGGCCCGTACGCAGCGCAGCACGCCGGGGCCAGTCCCTGCGGCAGCGGTTTGGAGCGTGCGGGTGACGCTCTTCAGCACCTGGGCAGACCTGTGCTTTGTTCTTCCATTTATTTCACACCATTTCTGCTAGAACCAGAAGTGTTCGCTGCCTCAAAAACAGTTGTTAGACGTGAAAGTCGGAGTAAAGGCTTTGGGGTCAAAGGCTTAGTTTTCTGGATGCTGGGGCCCGGAGGCAGAAGGAACGTCGCATATCGGCCATGGATTTGGAAGGACAGGTCGCATCAGAGCAGTTGCTAAAGAACCCCCAGGGAGGACGAGGGGGAGAGGAGAGGTGTGAGGGGCGCAGACACGGGGGACCCAGGGGAGCGGGGAGTGCAGGGAGGAGAAAGGCTGTAGGGTGTGAGTAGCACACGGGCTGGGCCGGCTGGAGGGTCTCCTGCTCCCCAGTGGGGTCCCGCAGGCCAGATCTGGGGGCCCGAGCCCTCTCCCCTGCCTTCCTCAGTCAGGAAGGCCCTGGCCTCGATGGAGGTCAGCCTCTCCCTCTGGGCACAGGACGTGGAGGGACAGCCCACCTGTGGCGGATACCAGGCAGGAGCTGCAGGGGCCTCAGGGGACACCTGGAGGGAAGAGGACCGTAGTGACCTGGCTTATGTGGATTAAGTTCCTGCCACGCAGTGGAGAAGACAGAAATTGGGTAGGTCACAGGAAACACACATTTGTAGTATTTGTCTATGTTATAATAGGATTCCATTTAAAAATCTGCCACATTCCTGAAAACCTACCACTCCCCTGTGAATCAAGTGGTACCACGCTTATCGGAAGGTCTTTGGCAGGGCGAAAAGATCTGCGTGCTAGTCTCAGCTCCACATGGATTATGAGGACTTCAAAGTTCATTTAATTGAGATTAATTCACACATGGGACCTTATAGCTGTTATGAGTTCAGATTCTCCATCGGCTTCCTGGAGATGGAAGTGATCCTGCAGGTACGAGCCGTGGATTTTGTCGGTATCTTGGTCTTCCCTATGAAACTATAGCAGGCTGAGTCTCCTGGGGCAGAGACTGCACTGAAATTCTTATTTTCCCAAAAGCTCTGGCCCCTGGCTGCATAACCCCATGGAGAGGGCAGCCTTCCAAGTCACCCCGAGTCCCCCATCTCCCGAGTGTGCCTGGGCCTGTGGACATGCTGGGGACTCTGTTCTAGCTGACTGGATGGGGAGGGCCTGCATGGCCAGGATGGAGGCTCCATCCGGTGGGAGCGTGGGCTGACGGCCAGCAAGGACTCGTGCCCGAGTGTCGGGCGCTCAAGGCACTGGGCTCTGCCAGGCCCGGCGCCAGGTGAGTGCGCAGCGCGGACACTCCGCCCTCCGCCCGGCGCACAGGCCCCACTCAGCCCCGGCCGGCTCCGACCTGCAGACACGCGCCGTAGCCGGTGCGGCTCAGAGCCGCTCGCCGTGGGGCCCTGCTGAGCAGGTCAGAGACCAGCCGGGGCTCCCGGGTTCAGGGCTGTGTGGGAGGCTCTGCGGGCGCCGCAGTGCCCGCCGGCGTGTGCCGAGGGCGGGTGTGAGAGCGCGTCAGGAGGGAGCACTCGGGGAGAAGGAGCCGGCCGTGCTCCACCTGCTCTGGTGCCAGAGCCCTGCTGCTCCAGCAGAGGCGGCTGACGGATGTGACCTGTCACCTCCAGCTTCGCAGGAGCCCTCTGGGGACTTGCAGCTCCAGGCAGATGTTGGGCCTGTGTTTCCTCCCTTGCTTCCCACAAAACACTGAGATACAGAGATTGGAATGGAAGAAGATCTGAGGGGGCAGCTCGGAGGTGGCACTGGGACCTGGTGGGGGCCTCTCTGGCCCAGGCACTGAGCAGGGGTGCCTCCAAAGGGCAGTGGCGTCCCCTCCTTGGCTGGGGTCAGGTGAGTGGCAGGGAGGGCCGGGAGGGGGCCAGGAGGACCACTCCTGAGGTGCAGGGCCCGTGGGTTGTGCATGGCGGTGACCAGAGTTTTGGACACGTGGGGTTCTATTCCCTGATGCCGTGGAATTCGTGTTTGTCCCCAGAGCAGGTCCCAAGTGGACAACAAGGTGAACCTCCTCAGCGTCCTCTGCCCTACGGTGTGGCCTCCACACGGGGCACAAGGCTCCTCTGCTCCACGCAGCTGGCAGGCGCGGGGACAGTCATGCGGGCCAGGGCCAGGGCGTCACCCGCACGGGACGGGTCTCCCTCTGGAGAGCCGGTGGTGCTGGAGTGGGCCCAGTGGGCAAGCTGCTCTCCCCAGCGCTGCCCCGCGAGCACCGTGAGCGTCCTGGGCCAGGCCTCCCAGACACGCAGTGCGAGCAAGCGCAGACGGTCTACGGGGGCTGACCGTGCAGTCCTTGGACACTCCCAGCGTCTCGCCTCCCTGGCAGGGTGCTCAGGGGCAGGTGACCTCCTCTCCGAGTCAGTGTCCTCCTCTCTAAAATGGAACTATACAGGCCTCAGGGCACTCTGGCCAAATGTTTACGAACGTTTCTGTGAAAACCGTGGCTGCTCAGTGTGGTGGGACGGTGGGACCGCGTAAGGTTTGCGCCTCTGCTTGCTCCCAGGCCTACCGCGTTCCCCAACCTCCCTGCATTAGGGGACACTGTGGGCAGGTCTCACCCTGCGGAGCCAGAAAGACGCCCCTCCACACCTGAGCACTGCCCAGCGGGGCCCTCCTTCCCTCCCTCGGGCTGTGGAGAGAGGTCAGCCTCGGGACCTGCGTGGAAGACGCCAGAGCCCCGCTCCTGCTCCCCGTGCAGCTCTGTCCACGGCAGGAGACAGACCCACGCTGCTGTGGCCACTGCTGCGTCTGTGCTGGGGCCGCTGGCCTCTGCCAGCCAGGCTCACCTCATGCGAGGCGATGGATTAAAAAGCTCACACGGTAAGTACTCGATACAATGACTTTCTTTTGCTACAATTCTCTTGGGAAATATGCAGCAAAAGAACATTCTACAGAGGCTGTGTTCGCATTTACGGAGGCCCCCGAAGACCTGAGACCAAATGGATGGAGTCACACGCCCAGGCAGAGAAGGTTAGAGGGTCTAGGAAGTGACTTAGAAAGATTTCTCTTGGTGAAGGCCCTAAGAAAGATATGAGTTACTTCTAAAACTATTTGTTTTTCACAGTTAGAACCAGTGAACATTAATTTTGGAGAAAGGTCTTAAAGTGGAGTAAGAATTGAGGTGATGGCAAAGAAGTTTCTCAACATGCTCATGTGAAAGGGCAAACTACGCCGATCGCCACAGCTTGTGCACAAACGGGCCACCTCGCCCCCATCTCCGACCTCGCCCCCATCTCTGACCAGGGACCTGGGGCCACATCGCCCATCTCTGACCTCAGACCTGGGGCCACCTCAGACCCTGCCCTTGACCTCGGACCCGGGGCCACCTCAACCCCCGCCCTTGATCTCAGACTGGGGGCCACCTCGCCCTCTGCCCTTGATCTCAGACTGGGGGCCACCTCGCCCTCTGCCCTTGATAGACTGGGGGCCACCTCGCCCCCTGCCCTTGACCTCGGACCGGGGGCCCTGTCGCCCCCTGCCTTTGACCTCAGACCTGGGGCTACCTCGCCACCCTCCCTTGACCTTGGATTTGCGGACACCTAACCCACAGTCCTTGACCTCCAACCAGGGACCACCTCGCCCCCCGCCCTTGATGTCGGACCTGGGGCCACCTCACCCCTGGTCCTTGACCTTGGACCTGAAGCCACCTCGCCCCCCGCCCTTGACCCCGGACCTGCAGACACCCCGCCCCCTGCCCTTGACCTCGGAACTGGGGCCACCATGCCCCCCTCCCTTGACCTCAGACCGGGGGCCACCACGCTCCCCACCCATGACCTCAGACCGGGGGCCACCTCGCCCCCTGCCCTTGATCTCGGACTGGGGGCCACCTTGCCCCCCACCCTTGACCTTGGACCTGAAGCCACCTCGGACCTGGAGCCACCTCGCCCCCCACCCTTGACCTCGGACCTGGGGCCACCTTGCCTCCCACCCTTGACCTGCGGACACCCCGCCCCTGGCCCTTGACCTCGGAACTGGGGCCACCTCGCCCACAGCCCTTGAGCTCGGACCTGTGGACACCCCGCCCACGGCCCTTGACCTCAGAACTGGGGCCACCTTGCCCACAGCCCTTGACCTTGGATCTGTGGACAACCCGCCCACAGCCCTTGACCTCAGAACTGGGGCCACCTTGCCCACAGCCCTTGACCTCGGACCTTTGGACACCCCGCCCCCGGCCCCTGACCTCAGAACTGGGGCTACTTCACCCATAGCCCTTGACCTCGGACCTGTGGACACCCCGCCCATGGCCCTTGACCTCGGACCTGGGGCCACCTCGCCCTCCCACCCTTAACCTCGGATCTGGTGCCACCTTGCCCCCCACCCTTGACCTGGGACCTGGGGCAACCTTGCCCTCCGCCCTTGACCTTGGCCCAGGGGCCACCTTGCCCCCTGCCCTTCACCTGGGACCTGGGGCCACTTCGTCCCCTGCCCTTGACTTCGGACCTGGGGCCACCTCGTCCCCTGCCCTTGAGCTGGGAAGTGGCACCCGCACCTAGTACTTGGTGAGTGTCCCCCACGAAGATGAAGTGGAGCTCATCCCATCTGCACTCAGTTCAGACCTGGCAGAACATTCCGGAGTCCCTTCCTGCTGCCCTCTCTGCCTGACTCCTTTTGCTCTGCAGACCTCCATCCTGGACCCTCTCTCCTCTGGAGCTTCCTGTGCACCTGGTGAGGTGCACCTGTCTGTTGTTACGTCTCAGGTCCCCCCACTCTGCATCCAGTGGGCACACAGCTGCTTCCTATTGTAAACGCAGGCTGGAGCTGCTTCACAAATGCATGAGTCGCTGACTCGTGGAGACATTTCTCAGTGCCCGCACGGGCGCTGGACCAGGGGCTGGGGACAGAAGGAAAGCAAGTGGTCTGCCCCCATAAGACAGGTGTTGCAGTGGAGCCGGCAGGGGCTGCGGTTACTCAGGACTGAGCAGGAGGAGGGACCATGCTGCTTGGACAGAGGAGGCGAAGGTGTCACCACAAAGATAAAAGGGCTCAGAGATGCTGGGAACAGCACAGCACTGAAGACTCTGGGCTCTGGCCGCCTGGACCCGCACCCTGGCTCGGTCAGTGAGTGACCGAACATCTCTTTGCCTCAACGTCCCACGAAATCTCAAACTGACATATTTAAAATGTGATAACCATCTTCTCCCACTTTAGGTCTGAAGGTTTGTGTTCCCCAAAGTCTGTATGTTGAAGTCCCGATCCCCAGGGTGGCTGTATTCAGAGACGGGGTGTCCAAGAAGAAAACGCAAGTTAAGTGAGCACAGGGTGGGCCCTGATCTGACGGGACCAGTGTCCTCATAAGCAGAGACGCCAGAGCCTGAGCCCTGCGTCTGAGCAGGCGGCAGGCGGGCTGTGCGCAAGCCGGCCGCGAGCCCTCACCAGGACCCGGATCGGTGGAGCCCCTGGAACCGTGAGGCAACAGCGTCTGTGCTTCAAGCTGCCTGGCCGGTGGTGTGCCGCGATGGCAGCCCAAAGACCGAGACTCCCACCTCTCTAAAATGTAGCTCTGTCCCGAGTCACCCGCCACGCGGGGGCCGAAGCTGTGGACAGCCTCTTCCTCCAGTGCTCGCCCACCTGGCCTGCTGCCTTCACCCCTAAACGCCACCTGCCGTTCCTCCTGCTGTCAGAGGTCAGGCCTCTTCCTTCTCATGTGGCTTCCTGGGACGGGCTCCACCTGCCTGCACGCCGCCCGTGTCCTCTCCAGCCTCCACACAGCCGAGCGGCGCCGGCCCCGCCCTCGATGTAGCATTCTCCCCTGCGCACCTCATCTCCCTCAAAGCTGGGCTCGAGTCCTGCTCCCGGAGACAGCCTGCCCTGTCACCCCACCTGGACAGACACTCATCTCCCGTGTCCCCGACGCCGGCCTGGTGCTACCTCCTGCGTCGGAATGTCCTTTCTGTCAAGTCACAGCGTCCCCTACGATGCAGTCCCTTCCCCTAGGAGCAGGCCGTGGCACCAGCTGGGTGGAGCAGACCCTAAGAGAGAAGGTGTCTCGTCCGCGTCAGTGGAACCAGTGAACAGTGACGCATCAGCTGGGCCCAGGCAGGCGGGGCCGTTTGCAGGTTCAGGCCTCCCTGGGAGGAGACCTGGCGGGTCTCACTTTCCTGGGCAACCTTCCCAGACTTCCCTGTGTCCGACATCAGTCTCTCCCAGGGCACGTCCCACATGGCACCCCATTCTGTCCCGACTGGACGGTCTCCCGATCCCTCCGCCTGGTGTCTGAGGTGCTCACGGAACCTGCCCCGTCCCACGGGGTTCCCAGCCGGGAGCCGGCTGAGCCCCACTCAGGATGCACCATGGCTCTGCTGCGCCTGGTGTGGGGCAGCCTCGTGCGTAGCCAGAAGGCTCCATGGACCCGGCTGGCGTCCCCTGGCTATGACAGGCGCTGCCTTCACTTGGTGGCAGCTGGGACGGGAACATTTTTCTGTCCTAAGTTTTCTGGACTTGCACTCCCTGTGTGTAAAGCCTGCATTTTCCATCCTGACTGACTGTTGTCACAGGGTTCTCTGAGTGACTCTTCCCCTGCGGCCTTCAGGATCTGCCTCTGGTCCTGCCCTCGTCCCTGGGAAGGACAGGCAGCTCCTGCCTGGCCCAGACTCTCACCTTGGGACCTTTATGATCACAGTGTGACATCCACTCAAACGCCACGGGAGCCGGAGCAGTGCACCCAGGAGCCCCACCGTGGGCGCCCGGGCTCCGAGCCCTCCTGGACGTCCACAGGTGCCACTCCCTGACCCACAGGCCTGGGCACACAAAGGCACGGGACAGGAGCACGCGCCGCACAGACAGCCCCTGGTCTTTCCTTCTCAAAGTCGGACGGCAAAACCTGAGAGGAGGGGAGCCGGGACGTGGGGCTCTGCCAGGGCGCGGCTGTCGCGACGTCCCTGCTCAGGCAGAGTGCCCGAGCGCTCCAGTGCCTCCTGGGAGAATGTCCCGACCATATGTCACACAGAGTGGTTTTAACAGTTTTAAACATGTTGCTGATAGTCAAAGATTTGGGGGAATATGAGCTTTGGAAGGCACACTGGCACTGTGTCAAAATCTGAGAACAAGTGTTTTTGCTTCCAGGACTGCATCCTGAAGATGTGGCTTTGCAGGTGTGGCTTTGCAGATGTGGCTTTGCAGGGCGTGTAGCTGTGCATGGAGGGATGTTTATGTGGAGCCCGTCGTAAGGGGACGGTGGTGGCACAGGTGGTGGCACAGGCGGGGCGCCAACCCAGGGGGGCCGCAGCCCCGTGCTGCCGCGAGGGTTCATCCACGAGAACTGGACGCACCCACCCACTGGGTGCTGGGGCCGTGCTGGTGACCACACCAAGCCCTTGTCCCTGGGCAGGGGTCTGGGGACCCTGGGATGTGCTGTGTAAAAGGGGAGCTGACGGTGCCAGCACACGCGTGTGTGTGCGTGCACGTGCGAGTGCCCTGGCATCGCCATGTGCGATCTGTTCAAGGGCGATCGAAAGAAGGTGGAAACCACCTGCCTTTGGGAAGGGAGTTGAGAGACCAGGTCAGGGAAGCACATTTGGTTTTCCTTTAAACCCGTTTACATTGTTTGCATTTTGTACCCGAGCAGAAATTTCTTTAATAATTAAAAAATTAGTCCTTAAAAGTTTTTTAAGACTCAGTGGCACACGTCCTGAACACGCCATTACTCCTTTCGGTTTGCGTGTCAACGTTGCTCTTCCGCGTGGGTGGTTTTGCAGACGGGTCAGAGAGGCGCGTGCACACTGTGTGGAAAGTGACAGCAGCAGAAGGGACCCCTGTGCAGCCTCCCCACGGCCATGGCATCTGCATCACTCGCGTGACACCTGCATCTGACTCAGCGTCCCCTCGGGACTCCCCCTGCCGCTGGGGACCGCGGGCCTGCAGGACTGCACCAGCCTCAGAGGCCGCCCCTCAGATCTCGCATGCCCCACGCCCCGCGCCACCCGACCCACACAGCAGGCCTCTCCCAGGACTACCTAACAGCACGCATTTCCTCTTAAATTAAGCAAATAAGAGTGAGAGAAGCTGGCTGGATGTTTGGGAACTTTCCTCGCGTATCTTTGGCACAGGATCCGCCGTGAGGCCGCCACTGCCCTTTCCCCAAGCGAGGCCTGCAGAGCGCGGAATCTGGAGACGCTCACGTGTGTCTAAAACTAAAATCTATTTCTTACTGTGAATCCCGATTAAAAACTGCAAACCCCTGCCCCACGACGCAGCTAGGGTTGGGGGATTCGCGCCTTCATACTAGATTTGAGACTGCTTCCCTCTCCCCCCAAACCTCCGAGCCTCCTTAGTTTGATGCGACAGTTCCCGCCTTTTCTCTCTGAACGGGTGGCGGCGCCCACGCCCACACCTGCTCCCGCCACGGCCACGCTGGAGAGCTGGCGGCCAGCCGTCGGGGCCACGGCCCAGGACGTGCCCACTCACCTCCGGTGCGTGAGGAAGCTGCCGCTGACGTGGCCCGACCCGTCGCAGCCTGGCGTGGGGCAGGACATGCCCTCCGTCTTGACCGACTTCCACGAGAACTGGGAGCCATTGAGGTACCCGTCCTTCTGCCTCTTGGCCGCCAAGGGGCACCCGGACGCGCTGCGGTGGGAGGCGTACTTCCCTGTGATGTGGCCCTGGCCGTCACAGCCGGGCACCGGACACCTGCACAGCAGACAGAGGGGACACTTACTGTCCTGCCACCCGGACCTGGCGGCCTCGACCGCAAAGTCAGGGTGACTGACAGGTGGGAGGAGGGAGCCCTGGGCTGTCCCCAGGCGGGCGGGAGGCAGCAACGGCGCCACCTGGTGGGGGAAGTGAGCATTTCACCCACGAGGAAAGACCACGGCCGAGGAGGAGGCTTCCCGGGAGGGGTGTCGGTGCCTGGTGGGGTGACGGGCCCAGCATGTCACACAGACCCGCCCAGTTTGCTGCAGCCAGTGCACACGGGTGTCTCTTACAAAGACACCACTTTGGAACAGAACCAGAGCTTTTCTGTGAGAAAGACGCAAAGTCACGAGACATTATGGGGTAATTTTTTAAGTCCGTCTTGTGCTCAACAGCCAGACGACAGTTACTTGTTTGGCTGTGTTCTCCAGAGCCCGCAAGATGCCCTTCCAGCTGGCACAGAGACAGGGCGGGCACGGAGATGGGGTGGGCACGGAGACGGGCGGGCACGGAGACCGGTGGGCACGGAGACGGGGAGGGCACGAGACGGGGTGGAGCACGGAGACGGGGAGGGCACGGAGATGGGCGGGCACGGAGATGGGGTGGGCAACGGAGTACGGGCGGCACGGACGATGGGGGTGTAGGGACGGAATGGGGCGGGCACGGAGACGGGCGGGCACGGAGATGGGGTGGGGACGGAGATGGGGCGGGCACGGAGACGGGAGGGCACGGAGATGGGCGGGAGCATGGAACGGGGCGGCCACGGAGATGGCGGTGGGGACGGAGACGGGTGGGCACGGAAGATGGGCGACGGAGACGGGTGGGCACGGGACGGTGGGCACGGAGACGGGTGGGCACGGAACGGGGGGCGGGCACGGAGAGGGTGGGCAATGGGATGGTGGGACGGAGATGGGGCGGGCACGGAGACGGGTGGGCACGGAGATGGGTGGGCCGGAGATGGCGGGCACGGAGAATTGGGGGGCGGGCACGGAACGGTGGCACAGAGCGGAAGGACCGTGGGCACGACACGGGGGTGGGCACGGAGACGGGCAGGCACGGAGGCGGGCACCGGGATGGGGGCGGGCACGGAGATGGGTGGGCACGGAGATGGGGGCGGGCACGGAGACGGTGGGCACGGAGACGGTGGGCACGGAGACGGTGGGCACGGAGACTTGGGGGGATGGCGCTGGCGCGCAAGCCCCTGCGCTGGCGGCGGCTGCAGAGCTGCTCTCCGCAGCTCGGGCTGCCAGACCCAACCCCCCAGGAAGGTTCTGACTGCAGGCAGCACTTATGTTCTACAGCATTTGCATTGTCTATTTATCTTGATAATTCTTAATTTTTAAAAATAATTAACACTTTAATTCATTTTTACTTTAAGATTTTTCTCCAAAGACCTTGAGTGCGACTAAAACTTCAGGCGTTGCGCCGGGTGTGCCCTGTGGCGCTGGCGCGGGTTCAGGACAGGGGCCCGTGGAGCTGCGGACGGGGCCTGGGCCCCAGTCCTGCCGCGGGACCGGCGGGGCAGACGGGGCGCTCTGCGAGCAGAGCCGGGGTGTGGGCAGAAGGGCCTGTGGGTGCTCAGTGCCTGCGGCCCCATCTGCCTTCCCAGCAAGTCCGGCTGCTTCTGCCACAGGACGGGGAGGGAGGTTTGGGATTTGGTTCCTCAGACCGTCGGGGTGGGGGTGTTTATCAGCTCAGTGCCGGCCCCCGGAGCTTGTTGGCCAATCAGCAGACGCGCTCTGGTGTGGGCGGTGACCTGGCTGCAGTGATTGACGCGGCAAACCTTCCCGCTGGGACCGCGGTCTCTCTCCCTGCTGGTGCGCACCTGCGCGCGGGAGCGCCAGCCCAGCGTCTGCCCGCCGGCCTCCTACCTGATGGGCTCCTGGTCGTCCTTGTCCTCCTTGCTCTGCGCCACGCGGATGCCGCTCTTCTTCGCCCTGGGGCACCCTGAAAGGCTGAACAAGAAGCGCGGCTCAGACAGCGCCACCGTGGGCGCCGCAGGGCCCGGACCACCCGGAGGCTCCGGCTTCATTCTCGCCCAGGCCTGTGCTTTGGGCGCCACGTCGTCCCCCCGGCGCGGGCCTTTCCGACACGGCCCTTCCACGCCCCGGCGGGAAAGAAAGCCAGTGAGGGCTCCAGGGACAGGGGGGACTGGATGGCGGAAATGGCGGGGCTTGTCAGTTTGGAGGATAAAGAAGCAGCCAGAGTTACCCAAGAAGATGCTGAGACAGACAGATACAAAGAGAGACAGAGAGACACAGAAAGAGATAGAGAGACGCAGCTAGAGACAGAGACAAGAGACAGAGGCAGAGAGACACAGAGACAGAGAGACACACAGAGAGACAGAGAGAGGACAGACATGTGCGCAGGGACCCGAGGGCCGCAGGGGAAGGCGCGGCCTTCCCAGCTGGGGCTCTCGTCCCTCCTGTGTCTGGGGGTGACGGGCCAGCGGGTGCTCCGATCTAGCACGAGCACAGGCCGCTGGCCACAGAAGGTACAGTGGGGGGCTGAACATGCTTATTCTTCCTGAGTTTCAAACTTTTGGATTCAGAGGGTTTGCAAGTGTTTCTAAAGGAAGTTTCCAGCTGGGACAGAAAGAGACCGCACAGGAGAACGTGCAGAGCAGCTCTGGTGTCTGCAGAGGCGCTGACGGACCGGGAGTTAGAGGCGTGCTGGGAGGCAGGCGTCCGCGGAGAGGCCCAGGGCGGAGGACAGTGGGCGCTGACGGACCGGGAGTTAGAGGCGTGCTGGGAGGCAGGCGTCCGCGGAGAGGCCCAGGGCGGAGGACAGTGGGCGCTGACTGGGGCGCAGGTGTCCGGCATGGCCGTCCCACACCTTCCTGAGCTTGTTCTGAGTCTCCGCAAGACGCGGGTCCTGGGGTGGGACCCCGCCCCGAAGGGTCTCATTCCTGTCCAGCCCTGGCCACCTCCCGCGGGACGTCTGCTCGCTCCTGTGGGTGCGGAAGGCAACGGGCCACGGCAGCCGTGCTGGGGTCAGAGGGGCCCCCACTCCGTGTCCTGTCTCCTCCTTTTACAGGAAAAGGAAAAGAGGAGGAAGGAAGAGGAAAGGCGAGCGGCCTGAGCTCCTCCGGCCTCCGGCTGTCCCTTTTCCCACAGGAAGTGCAGGGAAGCCCATGCCCCACAGCGCCTTCCTGCTGGTGGCCTCACGTGGCCTCCAGGCCTATGACTGGCATGTCCTGGGTCTCCCTGAGTCCGTCCACCTGCAGCGCCCGTGGTGCCAGTTAGCACGGGGAGCACTGCCCGAGCTGCGCCAGCGCACGCCCTTCCAGAACTTTCCAGCCCCTTTGTTTCTGGGGACGAGCCCCCTTCCCCCGCAGCCTCCACGTCCCTCTGTCCGTCCCTCCTGGGTTCCTTCCCACCACCGCATGGCCTCAGCTCGCAGGCCCTTCGAGACACCCTGGGCCCCCAGGCCCCTGCACCAATCCCGGGAGCTCTCGAGGTGCTTTCCACGGCACCATCCAACTGTCCCCTCCACAGGCTCCTGCAGGAGTCCTGTTCCCGGAGTGTGACCCACACGCCTATTCCCTGTGCGCCCCAAGCCCCGGCCCAGCGTGCGCGGAGCGAGTGACAGTCAACTGTGGAATGAATTGACAAATGAATGGAAAGAGGAATGGGTGGGAGAGCCACGGAATCCCACCCCGGGGCCCAGGCCAACCCCCAGGATGGATGTGGGGGGAGCCGAGCCCCTCGACCCCAACCATGAGGCCTGGCCCGGCTCTGCGATGCTCTCCCGCCTTAACTCTGCGTGACTCCCCGTGGACCTGGGGGCCAGGTGTGGCTCTGGACGGCCACCAAGGCCTGGGCTGGGATGGAGATAAACCCACAGAGCAAACCAGCAACATAACAAGGTTTGGCTCTGACAACTCGGCGACCTCCAGGAAGCCCTGGCTTTGGCATAGCTTCCGGCCAGGAGCCCGAGGAGGTGCGCCCTGGGCCCAAGGACCCGTCCTCGGCTTTTCTAGCTGTTGGCAAGTGGGGCCTGTCGGCTCCGTGGGGCTCTGGGGCTGGCCCAGGGCGCCCATGAAAGGCTGGTACGGGGTGGGAGCTCTTGGAGACCTGCTCGCCGGGGCAGCCCAGCGCCTCTGCCCGCTGGGTCCGGCCGGCCCCGCCGTTCCCTGCAGCGTGTCAGGCCCCAGAGCCCAGGCCCGGGTCTCATCTCGGGGGCAGAGTTTGAATGCTGGGCTGCAAGTTCGATGCTCCCCACTCCGTGCTGGTTTCTTGCTTGGTGGGAACACGGAGCTTTCCCTGCCAGCCAGCCAGGCGCCGGGACGGAGGTGCAGTGGAGCTCAAGCCTGTTCCAGACTTCAAAACGCTCTTTCTCTGCTTGCAGCGTGGACACGGAACCTGTCACTTGCGAGGGACCCAGAGTGCAGGTTCCCTGGGGCCGCCGTGCTGGGGAAGGTCTCGGGCACCGGCTGACAGAAGGACTGGGAGACGCCAGGTACTCATGGCCCAGTCTCGGCCCAGTCTATGAGTGTCAGTTTCCCCATCCGTGCCGCAGAAATGCTTCATCCGGCCATAGAAATGGAAGTGACGGTGGGACGTGAGGTGCTGTGCAGGGGAGGTGCTCGGTGACCCACACCCTTTGCTCTCACCCGTGTCTCCACTGTGTCCCTTTGTAGGTCCAGAAGTCACTCATCCTGTTTTCTCCGAGCGTTGCGGCCCCTCCCGGGCCGTGAGCTCAGGGGCGAGGGGAGCAGCCCTCCCTGTGGGGCGGGGGCTGTGACCTGCCAACTGCTCAGGGCCCCACAGTTTAGGCTGGCGTGTCTGGGCCCATCTCCCATCTCTACAGGGCTGTGGTCTTCTCGCCACGCCTTCCTTCCGTGGCTGCAGCAGCAGGCTGGCCGGGACTGACACCCCTGTCTCCACCCACCCTTCCCTGTGCTCACCTGGATGCGCCTTAAGAATCTCAAAGTTGAGGCAGGTAACAGAGTTGGGCCCACTTTATCTGGGTCTCTGACTCTGATAATGAGATAATGACTTCCCCTGGGACACTGGTGCCCCCAGGCCCTTCCTGCCTCCCCCTGCCCCCAGGAAGGCCCCCCTCGCCTATGCCTCCTGCATCGTGGGTCCCAGGACCCCCCCCACGAGGCCGCTCCCTCCCGGCAGCACGCTCCCCAGGCCAGGGCCAGGCCTGCGGCTCCCACTTGGGAGTAAAGTGACCTCCACATAATGAACTCGTCAAGACAGCCACTCCACGGCCTGACACGGAAACCCTAACCAGGATGAACGATTCACTGTCAAGCGATGCGGGGCCATTGTGTGTCTAGTACTCACTTGAAACTTTATAAGTGCGGGAACGCACAGACGCCCCCGGGACGCCTGCGCCCTCTGGGCGGAGGAGCGGCTGGGGCCGGAGCTGGCGGGGTGCCGGTGAGCTGGGTGCGGGCTTGGTAGCCCAGACTCCGGGTTCTCAGGACGGTGGGTGTGCAGGGAGGGGCCTCGCCATGTTCCCAGGCCAGAGCATGCCGGGCCGCCACCCCGCCGGAGCCCGGGGCCGACCGGCTCTGCGGCTCTGCGCTGGCCAGCGAGCAGGCGCCGCAGGGGCCGGAGCCGCGTCAGTAGACCGTGCGGGGAAGGCCCGGCGCTCCCAGGCAGGCCGCTCCGTGTCCAGCCAGGCGCCACCAAGCCTGGCCTCTCCACTGCCGTCAGGGCCTGGAGGCCCTCCGTGTCCTTTGGGTCACTGCCAGTTGGGTAAGAGCGTCCCGTGTGACGGTGACATTACACGTGTCAGGGCTCACGTGAGTTTTGGTGCGTGGAAGTGCCCAGCAAGTTCCGTCTGTTGTCGTCACAGGCTGTGCTGGGCCCTGACGGGCTTGGCGGTGCTGGTGCAGCTGGCTCCCGCCTTCCAGTCACCTGCGGGAAGCAGACGCCACCTCGAGCCGTAGCAGCGACTCCGGCCCATGGTGCTCTCGCTGTTTGTGTGACCCTGCTCACCAGGCACATGGGACGCCGGGACGGGACAAGGATAGCGGGAGGCCCCGGGACGTGCCTGGCAGGGCTGGATGGAGCGGTCACGGCACCCGCAGGGCTGGAGCTTGCAGAGGCAGGAGGTGGCCTCGGGAGGGTCAGGGAAAAGGAAAGAGATGGCTGGAAAACAAGAGTTTTGGGAAAAGCCTGAGAAGCCTTTTTGTTTGTAGACAGAAATACGAAGATATGCCCCGCTAACGCCTGAGCTCCGTGGGTCCCTTTACAGGCTTCTCTCTTCCCCAGGACGGGGAGCGAGGCAGCTGGCAGGGATTTCTGAGGAAACGCCACAGCCAACGAGCACTTGTCAAGATGGATTCAGGAAGGTCTCCGACGCTGTGCAGAGACGGGAGCAAGCATCGGCACCAACCCACTCCGTCCGGGGCGGCCCAGGGTGCTCCCTTCCAGCAGGGCCGCTCTGCGGGCGGTTCCACCCACGGGTGCTCCAGCTGCAGCTCCGAGGCGTCTCCTCTGGGCCTCCCAGTCTCCTCAAGGTCAGGCAGGAATGACACGCCGACGGCTCAGTGTGGCTGCGACAGTGGCCGGTGGCGGCACACTCGCTCCCGTCACAGGACCCGCCCGGCGGGAGCCTCGCAGCGTGACAGCAGCGAGCGCCGCCCTGTGCGTGGGCAAAGCCTGCCCGTGCGCAGGTCCCGCCAGAGGAGGGAGCAGTCCACAGACACCAGGCGCCGGGTGCAGTCGCGCCCCGAACACGGCTGGGCCATCGTTCTGTGACCGCACCTCTCACTAGGGCCCGTGGAGGGGGCCGGAGGTGCCTCGGGCTCATGTAACTAAACACTTATTATGGCACAACTGGGAGAAAGGCCAGTGAACCACGGTGCAGGTGACGTTTCCTCTCTAGCTAGCATGTGGGTAACACTATCTTCACCTTCCTGGGAAACAGACAATAGCAGATTCCAACTGAAAGAAGCTTTTCTAGCTGTATTTATGGCCACAGACCTGGAGAAGTTTGCTGGTTCCCCCGTTGGCCTATGTCATTCCTTAGTGGCCAATCTGCACAGAACTGCACCTATTTAACTGCAGGCCTCTGCTTTCTGTCGTGGCTAATTTGGGTAAGAACTGTCAGCTGACTGCAGCCCTTTCACTTAACCAAGTGCTCAGCCACATTTAAACTCCTGTGCGAGGGAAATTGTTCCTCGAATGAATAATCTGACCACATACCTCAATGTGCTCAAGCCCGAAAGGGCTGTATGTAGTGCCCAAGTTCGCCAGAAATAGTCAAGTTTCCTCTCCAAACCCGTGGTTAGCCCTGGACCACTTACCCAGGCACAGGTCATTGCTTACATTTAAGCTGAAATGGTATTTTAATCACGGGTTTATGCTCTAGTAACACTATTCTATGTTATATGCAAAGTGAATAAAAATGTTTAAATCAAATATGACTGAATTTACATAATGCCACCCCCCCCAAAATTGGTAGAAAAACAGAAATTTAGACATGAAATGACCAGGGAATGTTCGATCACCTTATAGCTATGCAGACATTATAAAATGCTAGAAGTTCTGGCCATGGGAGAAGACTGAGCTATTTCTTTTCTAAGATAAATTAAAATACAGACTAACATGGAATGTGCTTGTCTTTTATATTTAATTGTAGTTCTTCAACATTTTACTTAATCTAAACACCCCATGCTCTAACTCTGGCAATCCCTGCTGGAAGTGACGACTCACTCTTGCTCTGCCTTCAGATGCAGTGGCTGGCCCCGGCTTTGGGGGTGTGTGAAGGCAGGCCAGTGCCGTGAGACCCCTGATCCCTGGGGAATGGCCAACCAGGGGACGTTCAGCCACGTCCGCAGGCGGCTCGGGTCATCGAGACTGGGTGGTGGGGCCGGGCTGCCCGACACCCCGCAGCGCACAGCAAAGAGCTTCCTGCCCCCAAATGCCAACAGCGCGGAGGCTGAGAATCCTCGTCAAGAGAATGAGATGTTTTCACTGATTCTGAAAAATCCTCCCGCAAATCGCAAACTTCCATTGTCTGCGGAGGCGCACGCGGTGTGTGCGTTTCTCAGACATGCGCTGTTCAAACCTGGCTCCCAGTGGTTGGAGGGGATTACTCACAGTGGGATTCTAGTGACACACAGTCACCACGTGAGTTCCCTGACCCAAACCGAGCCAGCCAGCCAGCCAGGTGAGGTCCCTATCTGACCCCTGTGGTCTGGTCACCCCGGGCAACAGGGGCTCGCTCTGCCACATCCGCCCCGGGCTGCTGGGGCGTCACCAACTGCCCACACTGGCAGGAGCCGTCCTAACTCCCTGCCCCGTCCCTCCTTGCGGGGCGTGTGCACAGCAGAAGGCCGCCCGCTGCGGGACTGCCGCTTCGCCGTCCAAGACTCACAGCCGGGAAAGGCAGCTGCTCTCAGAGCCCGGTCTACCCAGGGACAGACAGGGCGCCGTCTCCACTGCGGTAGACTCGCTTTCCAACGGCCTTAGTTCAGAGACGTTCTTGCCCCTCCCTTGGCACGGGGTTTGGTCCTAGCTGAACACAGACGTGGATTATCTGCAGTGGATGCCCTCAGTGTAGACAATGCATTGACAGAGACCCCTCCGACCACACTGCGGTCAGGCTCCTGCCGGGGCCGACCCTGGGCGCCTCCCTGTCCTGGTGGAATCAGTCTGAGCAGGAATCCCGCGCGGTCTAGTGACAGCCCCACCCCTGGAACTGCAGGGGAGTGTCCTGTCACCCGGCCAGCGCTGGCAGGGCCCACCTCCCTGCGTTCCTCTTAGCGCCTCCGCGAACTGACCTGCCGCCCCTGGGGCGTCCGTCCTCACGGTCCCGGCTGGAGTCGGAGCTGAGACCGGCCCCTCCCGCAAGGCCCCAGCAGCTCCCCACCTCTCGCCCTGGCCGCTCCGGCAGGCGCTGCCTGACCGCGCCTGACCGCGCCTGATGCGGGACCCTGTGTCTTTGCTAGCACCAAAGCCTCCTTCCTCGCCCTCCTGCGCAGTGCCCGCCACAGAGGAGACCCACGGTGTCTGCGGAACGTCAACGGGGGAGAAGTTCTGTCTCAGTGAGGAATCTCCACGCCACGTCCTAGGCGCTGCCCCTCCTCAGGGTGCCACGCCTTTTGTGCGTGGCGCTTGGCGTCTCCGCAGCACCCGGCGGGGCAGCTCTTCACGCTAAGAGATCGGCGCGGGGCGTGATCACAGAACGCTCGCCTCTCAACGGCGGTTCTCGGGGGTCTGCACCGCGAGATGCCGTGCCTTCCCTTTAATCTTTGGAAGGACGTGCTGCTGGGGGCTGCAGGCCTGCCTCTCAAGGAAGCGCGAGGATGGTGGGGAGGCGTCAGGAGGAGCGGGCGGCGCTGAGGGGGCGCTGCTCCTGGCAGGGAACCGCCGGGTCCCTAGTTTTACCAGGGGCATCAGGCCGCGTGCGCCCCAGGCAGGAGGTGGGTGACATCCCCGTGACTTCAGGGAGAAAGAGCAGCTCTGGGGAGAAGGGCGGCGTCTGCACGTACCTCCGGTGAGAAGCGTAATTCCCAGTGATGTGTCCAGAGCCGTCGCAGCCAGGGGTGGGGCACCTGCAATTAAAAATGCAAATTGTTGACTTACTGGAGAGAAATAAAGTTCTCTGAATAACCAATTTCTCACCGATCCCAAAGCAACCTCTGTTTGTTGCGTAAGCAGCTGCTCGAAAGTGGCTGCGCTGAACGGGACGCCCAGATCCAAGCCCCACACAAGCCTGCCGCTGCCCGCTCCCTCCCCAGCCCAGCGGCACTGCCAGGGGATCTGATCGGTGGCTGTTGGGGTCCCACAGTCTCTGGAGCACCCGGCAACCTTGGTCGCTGGGATCTCGTCCCTTGCCTCATTGCTTTAGGTTCGGGGGAGGGGGGCAGCTCCTACAGGTGTATCTTGCCCCAACCCGCGTTGAAGCACGGCTCACACGTGAACAGGCAGGTCTAGAGAGTGGCCTCGCTCTGACAGGGACGCCAGCATCGCAAAGGGCACCCTGACTCTCCCGGCCCTGGCCAGCCGGGCGGCCCCAGGGTCCAGGGAGGGCAGCAGCCTGTTTCCGGACTGTGGGGTGCAGGCCCGCGACCTCTCACTGTCCCTGTGCACTCAGGTGGGCTGGGGTCACCCGAGGGTCTTTGCTACCTGTAGCTGACTGGGGCAGAGCACAGGAGGCCGGTGCAGGTGCCCAGGCCGGCGGAGACGGCCGCCGGGCACCTGCACTCTCCCGTGCGGGCCTGCGCAGGTAGCCCCACGGAGGCCCCGATCACAGCTGTGCCACTGCTCTAGCGGGACAGGCCCTTTCTGGAGCGTTTGACTGTTGCCCGCACATAACTGCCTAGCTGCACCGTCCAAGGAACAGTGACAGTGTCGCAAAGAACTTTTCAGTTTACTTTTCAGCTGTTTCAGGGGCGTTTGTGCCCACCAGGAATATAAAGGACAAAAATTGAGAAAAAATGTATCTGTCTTTTCATTGAATTTGTAACTCTCCAAAAAAAAAAAAAAATGACAAGACATTCCCACCTCATAGTGAGACTGAGGTGCCCGTCCCTGTGCACTGAGCACCTGAGCTTTGCAGGGACAGATGCTCAGTGAGTGCATGCTCCTGGGGGCGCAGTCTGCCCCTCAGAAAACCTCGCTGGGCACCGGGAGCTGGGGCCGGGCAGCAGACTGCCTGTTACAGGTGGCTTCCTCCAGATCGGGGAGGTGGCGGGGAGTGGAGCAGAAATGCAGGAAGCTGGACTCATTTCAAGTGTGTGAATGTCGTATTTGGCACTGGGGTGTGTAAACGATTTCCAGTATTCCCCTTGAGTCCTAAGAAGGGACACGTTCTAGATCTCAGGGTGCTGACGCTGACATTCCGGGCGAATTGAAGGGTAAAGTTTAAGGTGTGATCTGCTCTGCGGAGAGTGGACATATACTGGGTGAGAGGAATCTTCGGTGCACCCGGTTAATGCCCCTTTAGTCAAAGTGGAATTTGGGTCTTTACAATAAAAGTTTGAGGCAGAGTAGTGATGAGGTATTTCAAACAGTCTCCGTATATCAGAATAGCAACTCCAACTCTGACTGTTGGCCTGCTTTTTGTTAAAGCAACTTAGACTTTGATCACAAGACTATTCAGTCAATTACTAAGTAGTTATTGTCTGCACAGTAACTTAAGTGGCTCAGCCAGCGGGTTTTCCAAGTGACTCTGGCACATCCACACAGGGAGGAAACTCTGACAGCAACAAAAATCCTTCTAAGCAAAGCTGATCTTCGCGAAAGTTTCCGTTTTGAAAATGTACCAAGGAACAATTTTTTCCTACCAGCCAATAATATATACTTTGTCTTACCTTTTGATCAAGAAAAGGCTTCTTAAATTTCGCCTAATCTAAGTACATACTGTAATTTATTTAAAATTTATTTAATATCCGCAAACATTTTTCGGGTGTCTTTTTTTGGTAGGGGTGGAAGGAAGTTGACCTATTTTGCTCCAATTTAAAGTGAGGTAAGGTAGTCAGAAATCAGATTTTTACTACTTGTAAAAAATGCTGCAGTAGTTGCCATGTGTTTAAATGCCATTTGTGAATGTGTAGTCCATCCTCTGACAAGAAAAGAGGAGTTGAAGATGTCTTTTTGCACCATGAAAACAACAACAAAATACTGACTGGGCTCATTTTTAGAGCGGTTGCGGTGCTGGGAATGAAAAAGTCAGCAGAAAGAGGACTTTCTTAACAGGTTTGCTTTTACTGTCAGGGTTTCCAGTTGGGGAGACGGGTCTGAGCCCCAGATCTGCCCCTGGCTGGCTGCGGGGTGCCCCTCCCAGTGAGGAGGGTGACAATGACACCGGGCTCAGGAGGGGCTCGGACTCCCTCCCTCCCCCTGCGAGCGCCACACGGCAGAGCTGCCCTGGGTGTGTGTGGCCGCAGCCAAGATACAGACTGAGTCCACGGAAACAGTGCCTGTTTTCTCGTGGGCGGCAGTTCCGCTCTTTCAGCCTTAGGTGGCGCTTCTGGGCCACGCAAGGCGGCTGCAGAATGGGCTTTCAACTGTTTTTTCTCCCAGCTGCCCCTGGTGTTCATTTTTATGTCATTGCTCAAGACTTTCAGACTGTTTTAAAAATTCTTAGATTTACATACAAATTTCCTAGCTTTAAGAAGTCTCAACTTCTACTGCACGGTTCTGTGCAGTCGATGGACGAGGATGTGACCCCCAAGGAGAGGGTCTTTGTTTCCCAGACGGAGTCAGCAGCGGGCCCTGGCGGTGCGAGTGGGTGCGGCTGGCCCGCGCGGCCCCACTGGCATCTGCCGGCCTCAGAGCGCCTCTTCTCCACGAGGCCCAGAGGACCCTGAGGACAATCGCGGGCCGCGTGCAGCTCGTGCTGCACAGCTGGGCTTCCGGTGGCAGAAGAGACTCCCTGGGTTTCCATGGGAACGGCCCTAGACCCCTTCCCAGGAGGCACAGGTGCCACAGCAGCCGGAGGGAAGGGACGGGGAACACTCAGCCCTTCCTGCTGCCCCAGAGGGACTACGGCCAGTGGCCCTGAGGCTGGTTTAGTTCAAATGGATGGTTATGGATGTGAAGTTGCATTAAATAAAACTCTGGCTTTATATAGATCTTCTCCTCTCTATGCCAAACATACTATTGGTAAAAATACTCAGAGAAAGGAAGTGATGAATAAATAATTTTAAAATCTATCCTTGCCACCCCACAGACACATTCAAGACAAAAATATTCCTGCTTTTGCTTTCTCTCTGGTCATGTGTTTGCCTGAGACTACACAATATTAGGAGAAAAAAATTTTGGGTAGTGCATATTACTATCTCGTGGAGAAAATTGATCTTATTTACATATTTAAAAATGGTGATGGAAAAATTCTGATAAAATGTTTTAAAAGGTGTTGAAGTTAGGGGTGACATGCAGAATTCAGGCAAAATGGAAAAAACAAACAAACAAACAAACAAAAAAAAACCAGAGACGCCGACACCACTTTGGTGTTCCCATTTCATGGCAGGAGCCGTTCTCAAGCGGGACAGCCGCGTTTTTGTTGCCTCTGCAGCTCTGAGAGACCTCGGACCCTGACGCCAGCTCCCTGTGTCCCTGGCCCTCTTGCTGTTGGTCGCCAGCAGAAACATCCTGTCTGGACCTACAAGAACCATCATTGGCCACGTGTCCATGGAGGTCACGAGGTCTATACTCTAACATCAAAAAAGAATTTGATGTCTATGTGTTAAAAGACCTAACCGTACACAGCATGCAATTTTGCATTGGCACACATCGCAAAGATGAGGCAACCACCAGCCTATTTCTCAAACGTGCCTCTGATCTGCCCTAGCCCGGCATAGACCCATTATTGTACTGTTTTCTCCCTTTTATGAAACCACTACCTGAAACAGGGCAGTGGAAATGGAAACAGGTGTATCTACTGACTAAAGTTGTGTTATTGCTTGATCATTCATATGAACATGTTAAAGGTACTTCCTCTATATTCCATCATCCCATTCTCTCTCTTTTGAAAAGCAATATTGTGAAAATTAAATACTTAAATTACACTAAGATGTTCAGAATAGCCCACACAAAAATAGTAACACACAAAATATGAAAAAAATATAATTTTTCCCTTATGCCCTCAATTTTAAAATAAATAGTAAAAATGTAAAATTAGGCCTGGTCTGTAGTAGAAAAACATGTTTGTAAATCAGAAGATTCCAGCCACATGTAAAATCCTTTGCTCCACTTATACAGAAATTTCAATTCAAAACCTGTTTTTTTTTTCATTTGCCGGGCTCAGTGACCCACATCTGTAATCCCAGAACTTTCAGAGGCAGAGGCAGGAGGATCACTTGAGGCCAGGAGTTCAAGAACAGCCTGGGCAACAAAGTGAGACCCCACTTTTACAAAAAATAGAAAGAAAATCAACTGGGCGTGGTGGTGCCCACCTGTACTCCCAGCTACTTGAGGGGCCAAGGTGGAGGATCCGTTGAGCCCGGGAGCTCAAGGCTGCAGTGAGCTATAGCTGTGCTACTGCACTCCAGCCTGGTGGCAGAGCAAGACCTTGTTGCTAAAAAAAAAAAAAAAAAAAAAAAAAGCACTTTTTATTCCCTCTAAACATACCTGATTCTAGAAATATGTATTTTTTATTTTGATTCTTTCTCTTATATAAACAGGAAAAATACAGAAATGTAGAGAAAGGCAAAACAAAGGCATTTTAAAATGGAAAAATCACATGTTCTTATGCTAGACCTCTGCAACTTTCTCTCAAAGCAGAAAGAAACCAGGTTACTTTAGGCAAATATACTGTCTGCCCTCCTCAGGCATGGTTCCGCATGTGCCAGCTCAGCCAACCAGGGATCAAAAACATTTGCAAAAAGAATCTGAATAAGGAATAACAATAATAAAAAATACAAATAAAAAACACACTGTAACAATGGTTTACATAGCATTTAGTTGTATTAGGTATCATAAGTGATTTAAAGTGCACAGGGAGGTTGTGCTGGGTGAGTGCAAACACTACACTGTTCTGTATCAGGGACTTGAACATCCTCAGATTTTGGTCCCTGAAAGGAGTCCTGGAACCAACCAACCCCCAGGG